GGCCTGACCTCTGCAGGGTGCTCCCTCCAGGTCTGATGGCGGAGGCCACCTCCCAGCTGTGCTTGGGCTTGTCTGTGTGTACTTGGTTTCCCTGACCTTCCCTGCCCCCACACACAGCCTTGCTGAGCCGCGTGCCCCAGCCGCCCGGCTCACCTGGGTGCCGTCCCCCACCGGCTTCCCCGGGCCGAGCGGTGCACAAATGCTTCGTTTCAGAGCGGAGGTTTGGGACTTGGTCACTGATGTTTTTGAAAGGATACTTTGCACTGGGTCCTGCCCTTTGTTTTTAAAGCTATAATCTTAGAATGCCCTGTGTTTCCCATGGCCTCTGTGAGCAGGTTCCGTTTACTGGCTGTGTTTTCCTTCTTTTTATTTAATTTGAGAGCTAAAGGGGCTTTAGGACCTGGCCCTACTTTTTATTCCATATCCCTCAGCGTGTAGTCTGAGAAAGTCACAAACCCACTGGAATTTCTACTAACGGAAAATTTCTCAGTAAGGGAATTTACTTTTAATTCCCCCCAATTCCCAAGAAATTCAGATACTTCTCAGTTTGGAACCATTAGAATAGAGGTTATCAATCTTGTACCTTTTTTCCACCAAAAACAAAACCCAGTGGTGAAAAGGACACACTCAAGGGTCCTCCTCTGCAAAGGGGAACAGAGGCCCCTTATAAGTGCCACCGAAAATCGTTGATACCTCCCCACCCGGCCCCCTTTCCAGTTCCTCATTTGTTATCAGACAGTCTGGTAAAGGCAGGAACAAGCAGTGGGAAAGCCCCGAAAGTAATACTGACCAGCGTGAGCACTGGACCAGCACTCTACAGTCTGCAAAACTCGTCTAGCTCAGGAACCCTGGCACGGAGTGGAATGCTTACCGACCCTCTGCAGAAAGACCTGACAGTACCTAAACGTACTGGTGCTTTTAAACAAGTCAGTACCTAGTAATTCAAGGAAATCCGAGACTAGAAATGAGGGCGCCTCGCTGGCTCAGTCGGTGGAGCGTGGGACTCCTGGTCTTGGGGCTGTGAGTTCAAGCCCCACCTTGGGCGTAGAGATGACTTTAAAAAAGAGAAGAAGGAAATGAAAACTCTCACTGCGTGAATGAAGGTCCACATCATTCCCATTTTAGTATCTTGATTTCAGGTCTCTTTTCCATGTATAGGTTTTTTTCAAAGGCACGTAATTGTGGCCTGTTTTTGTAGAGTACTTTTTACTGAACGTGGCGGCATGAGTTCTTCCCACACTGTCTTTCTGAGACATACTTTTGATGGCCTCTTGTTTCCTTATGAGGTTTATTGTTAGCAGACAATCTACCACCAGTTCTAACAGTCTTTGTGAGGGCTGTCTCCATATCTGAACTACCTCATGAACTTTTTTTTTTTAAAGATTTTATTTATTTATTTGAGAGAAAGAGAGTCAGACAGAGCACAAGCATGCATGGGGCGCGGGGAGATGGAGAAGCAGGGAGCCGGACGCGGGGCTGCATCCCAGGACCCTGAGATCATGACCTGGGCTGAAGGCAGAGGCTTAATGACTGAACTTCCAGGCGCCCGTAGCCGGTGAACTTTTAAACAGTATTCTTTGGTTGCAAAATAGATCAACCAGATAGGAGTATCCCTAAAATGTAATTTTGTGTCTGTGGTTCACTGTCTTTGTTAACACTGGGTCCCCTGCACCGTTAAGTTTTTTCTGTGTCACGTGATGGTGTAATCTGCATTTCCCTGTTTCCTAATGACGCCCACGGTCCCCTCCACCGGCCTTGCTGCCATTTAAGATTTCTTCTTTGATCAAATGGCCATTTTGTAAAACGTCATTTGTGTGTGTGCGTGTGCGTGTGCGGCTTGGTTGTCTTTTTCTCACTTTGGAGGAACTCTCTAGAGATTCTGGATGTGAGCCCTTGGCTGGTCCTATGGTGTGGCAGGTGGCTTTCTCGTCAGGTGACTTGCCTTTTCACTTTCTCACGGGGTCTTCTTATGAGTTCTTGACTTTAACATAATTGTGTTTTCCCTTTACGGCTGGTGTGTTTGTGTTTTACCTGGTGACATTCTCGAGCGAAGCTTGGACTACAGAGTGCTGGTTGTGACCAGGGACGTGGGTCAGCATGGGAAAGCTGGGATTTGTCGAGGCAGGTCCTGGCTGTGGGGTGCGGCCAATGGGAAGCTAGGAGCCGAGCCTTTACGCGAAGCAGCTCCAATCCCTCTGTGAGATCTCAGTGTCTGAGGATGGACGAGGATGGATGGATTTGGGACCTGGGGAGAGACGGCTGCGCTGCCCCGTGGGCATGCCCCTGGGGTGTGGGCTCATCACTCCTGTCTTTGTCCCATGGGGCCCCAGGGAGGCTCGTGTAGCAGGCAGGACCCTGACGGCATTGGGATGCTGCTCATCGCTGTGTAGGTTACCCCATGTGATCCTCGCCGGCCTATGGATGGGGGCGCAGAGGGTGAGGCTCATGCCATGCTGACCGGGAGGTGGGGAGGGCTGCACTGAGTTTCCCACTTTCAGCATTAATTGTTTCTTCAACCGTGGCCTTCAGTTTCAGGTTCTCTCCTCCTCTTCTCTTTTTCTTTGCTGGAAGACTCCTTTGTTCGTAACTGATGGGAAAGGAGGACCCACACTCCAGATGTGGGTTTCTTCTCTCTCTGGTGTTCTCCGACCCCCTGCACCTCCCCATCCCACGAAGTGGCCAGTGGCCGTTGTGCTTTTTGGGGGGTGGTCAGAGATAACTTTAGGAATCGGATGAAGATTGTAGAGGGAGGAGGGGACCCTAGTCTTAATCCTGCTCCCCTCAAGGGTCCCTGAGCCCTGGGTTGAAAACCCCTGGTGGAGGGAGCCGGCATGGCTTCCCCTCAATGGAGGGCATTTTCCTGTGTGGCGGCGGTCTGCTGACACCCTACAGATGCACCTTCTGGTGTCCCTTGTCTTCCGGCCTCACTGATGGGCTCTCAGATTTAGGGATTTGGGGTCTAGGGTCCTGTGGCTCCCTGTTCCTGGCTCAGACCTCTCTCTCAAAATCCTTTCTGCTGATCATTGTGTAATAACCTCCCCTTCCAACCGCTTCTGAGACCTTCATCCTGGGACATTCTTCCAAAGGCACAGTTGCATTGGGTGGTGCCAAGTGCCAGGGGCTGGGGCCACACAGACACGTCCCTTTAGAAAGAGATGGCGGACCGGGGTCTGTGCACCTGTGTCTGCGGGAGGACAGAGCCTCTCTTTCTTCTGTTGGTTTTTTAAAAATTTATTGTACTCTTCTGTTCTCTCTTCCTTGTATGATTTTTTTTTTAAGGATTTTATTTATTTGAAAGAGAGAAAGAGAAGGGGCAGAGGGAGAAGCAGGCTCCCCACTGAGCAGAGAGCCCGATGGTTCAAGGGGCTCAATTCTCAGGACCCTGAGATCAGGACCTGAGCTGAAGGCAGACGCTTAACCCACTGAGTCACCCAGGCCCCCACTTCCCTGCCCCCCACCCCCATATGATTTCTTAATAGTCCCTTGACTGTATCCCTGCCCCCTTGGCATGCTTCTGTCATCCATCCCTCAAGCCACTGAAAGGTGACTCTTCAGAGCATTAACTTTGTTCCTGTCACCTTGCTCTGGGGTGCCGCCCATGCCTCTCCTCACCTTCAGGACAAGCTCTGACCCATAGCACACTGGCTGCTCCCAGATGTGCCCCAGACATCGGCTCCCAGACGACTCAGCCCCGCAGCCCCCGACCCGCACACCGGGCTCGCACCTGCTTCTCGCTTTCCCACGCTTTCCTGTGCCGTGCTGTGTGCTCCTGACGCTGCTCGGGGAGGAAGTTCTCTTTATCCACCACGTGTTGGAGTCCCGTCTGCCCCTCGTGGTACAGCTCAGATGTCAACTTTCCGTAAATACACCGTGTCCCCGCCAGAAATAGCCATTCCCTCCCTGATTCCTTTTAAGAACCCCCATTTCCACTATGTCATTCCCAGGAGCTGGACGGGGAGAAAGCCGGGCTGAGATCCCGCCGTCCCCTCTGTTACCGGCTGACAGCTGCTGTCACCGATGGCTGTTGTCGGAGCAAAGGTCACGTGGCCCCAGAAGGTGCAGGAGGTATTTTCGCTGAAGAGTGCAATTGTCGGTTCCGGGCTTCAGCGTTACCAGATGAGGGGCATGGATTTCCCAGGTGCTTGCAGCCTGTGTGGCAGAGCTCCCCTCCCATGTCCTTGCGCACCCTTGACCTTCTCTGACTTCTTCGCCTTTGCTGCATTCTTCCGCGTGGGCCAGCCCCCTACCCCGTGACTCCCATCTGCTTCCCACCCACGGCAGGGGGGATCACACCCTTCTCCCTGAAGCTGCCACCCACAGTGGCCCTTGTCATCATGCTGGCATTCCATGGCCAGAGCCCAGGCCTGTGCTCACAGTGGGCCGCAGGGACTGGGGACCCGGGGAGCGTGCGGCGGGGGCCAACTAAACACCGGGAGAGAGCGGATCGGCGACGGCTGGCAGACAGGAGGCTCTGAGTGGTTTGGCCCCACGGAGAGGCTGAAGAAAACAGACTTGTCTTCAAATTAATCGTCTCTCTGTACCGTTTTCTGATAAATGCTCATACCTTTCATATTTTATTAAAACCTCACTTGAAGCGTTCTTAATAAAAACAGTACAATCTGCCAGACGAGCTTCTGCTTTTCTCTCAGAAATCCTGAAATCGGTGATTATCAGAGAAGCTCTGAAGGGGGAGGACGGGAAATGAGATGACTCCGGAGCTGGGAAACGGGGTTTATGAGGTATTTACTTCATTGAGCCCCGCCCCCCAACGTGAGGAGTGCATCGTTTTCACAAAATGTCCTGGAGGGCAGAATCCGTCCCTTCGTCCTAAGACAGGCCGCTCACGTGTGTTTGTGTGAAGTCCACGTTTATTGTACAAGTTAGACGATGTCGTTTTAAACCAGTAGCCATGGGAGTTTTGTGAGTTTAAGGTGTTACGGTTTTGTCGCTCTCTGTCTTCCGTCTATTAGCTAACGGCGAGCCCCCCGATTTCTCCCCAGGTACGGCGTGAGTCCCGAGAACATCATCTTGTACGGTCAGAGCATCGGGACCGTCCCCACAGTAGACCTGGCCTCAAGGTATGAGTGTGCCGCCGTCATTCTCCACTCGCCTCTGATGTCGGGCCTGCGCGTGGCTTTCCCGGACACCAGGAAAACGTACTGCTTTGACGCGTTCCCCAGGTAAGCTCCCACCTCCGCTGCAGGTACTGGGATGCCCAGTGACCCAGGGTCAGATGCCACCACGACCCATGGTGCTCAGTCTCTCCTGAGTGCAGCCCCACGGCTGGCCCCGGGCCGGGCACCTTGGGGAGGTGGCCGTGATGGTGACCCACCCACCAGCCCTAGACTTTGTCTTCTGGGCCAGAGTCCTCTGTAGAACTCTTCCGGATGACAGGACTCGCCCGAACTGACATCCCAGGTTAAGGGACTCAGCTGTACGTGCGTGATGAAAACCAAAGTGCCCGTGTCTCCTGAGAGCACGCACCGTCCCATACTCGCTCGTGCACAGATGGGTATGTATGGTGGCTGCCGAGAGCTCCTTGCGGAACGTCTGGCGCGGCCCTCAGCGGTTCACACGCACGACTCAGCGGTCCGCGCAC